ATTTTAAAAATCAAATCAAATATACTAAAAATAAAAATATATATATCAAATTTAAAATAATCCTCTTATTCCTTTAACCCTTTCTCATCATATCAACTAAAATTCAAATTAGAGCTATTTAAATATCGTTATAAAGAGTTTGTGATTGCACGTCTTTTTTATTTTAATATATGATGACACCATCCACCGCCCCAATTTAACCTTGGAATACAATTAAATTTTCTTTGTTGGCCTACTTTTGGGTACAATGATGAAAGCATGCTCCTTATTCTGTTCAATATGACTAGACCTTATTTTGATGAATTAGTTAGTTGGTGAAATTTCATATTTATTGTTATTAATTATTTATTTTTTTATTGATCGATTATGTTTATTATAATAGCATATATTGTAATTATTCTTTAAATAAAAATATGAATAAATGATATTTTAAAATATAAAAATAAATAATTAAATTTGAATAATTTATATTGAAAAGTAAAACAACTTAAGTTGAAAGGAATGGAGTAATTCTAATATACTCATAATGGATTTCAGTTAAAACGTAAAAACATTTGATTGTTTTTTGAAACTTTTTTGGTCATCGACGTTACTCGGTGTATTTTTTTTTTAACAAATTACAATCAAACTTATGGTATTAAAGGGAATGAAAAAAGAAATTACCGGGACTCAAACTTCCAACTTAGGAGTACGTTCCCACTAAAGCCAAGCGAAAATCCACTCGATCGGCCATGCATGCAAAACTTACTCGATGGTTTTGGAGTTGAAAAAGGAGAAGATAAAATAATAATGAGAGACCTAACAATGCGGAACACATTCAATGTGGTTAGGAATTGACCTATAAATGTTCACCCAAAATAAATAACTTCGTTCCATCCAAGGTCTGCGGGTCCAAAGGGTGTGGGTGGTGCGAGGAAATAGAAGAGAAAGACGCGTATTAGTTTGGTTTTTCCATGTCATCAGCAAAATTGAGTTTCTCCATCTTGATCAGTCAACAAGGATAATCAATTCACCACGGTTTCTATAAGACCGACCAAGTCTATAACGTCATGGATTACAATTGTGGATAATCATTTTCCACGTTTTCTTTAAAATCATTTTCCATCATAATTTTGAAGTGTGCGAATGTGAAAACAAGATATTTCTTCTTCCT